CACCTGCTTTTCCAAGAGGCAACTTTGTGTGTTTGACATAAGTTCTGTGTTTATGTCTGTTGACAGAAGTAAATCTTGCAGTTTGGCAAGAATGTGGGGTTTCTGTGTTTATTCCTTAGGCAACATGCAGATTGTCACGGTGTGATTCTGTGCCGAGGGAGGCGGGTGAAGGATGCTGTGCTCATCTCTTCATCTGACTGACAGATAAGCTGCTTTATGAACTGCTGCTAAATCCTTATAATTTAAGACAAGACTATAAATGAGTGTGATGACAACGTCTGTCAGTGTGTCCGTGAATTGTCACAAGTGCCACAATTGCTGGCTTTCATGAGTTTGAGAGGAATGGGTTGGAGAAGAGCAGGCTAAACAAATGTGGGGATTGTGACCAGAGAACTTGAAATTGTGGGGAGGGACAGGTAAAAATATTAAACATATACCAATGGTTTGTATAACCTTCACTAAAACAACCTTAATTTGCTTTTAAAACAGCTTCTGAGAGCCATTACTATGACCTTTTAGCTGAATTGTGATGAACAGATTATATTACCCCCCCAGCTATTCCTGTCCCCTTCAGCATGTGCTCTTTTGATTTATGTTTTTTTAGTAGAACTGGATCAAAGCTCGTACATGCCAGATTTTACTAGGTAAGGTTTATAATAAACTTGTCCAAGATTGCTTTTGAGGTCCTGTTTGACTGCAAGAGAAGGGATTTTGTGAAAAAAAGCAGGCCGGCGACCGTAGTGAGTGCCAGTGCCAGGAACATTCTCACTAGTCATGCTGCAGAACTGTGGTGTTCAAACCCTACCTCTCCTCATTATTAAAGCTCAGGACTGAAAGCAGTTCTGCTACAGATGTGCTTTAGCTTTTAATGTGTAAAATGAGGATAATGGGCTGTGCTTTATTAGGAGAGCCATGGACATTAGGCTTGTGAAGTTCTTTGATCTTTGAATGGAAAGAGCAGTATTTATTTAAAGACAAAGAAGGTATTTAGCCTTCAAGCAAATGAGATGGATTTCACGCTACAATTCTGCACATTTAAAGTCAGTCTTCTCTCTTGTAAGTAGTCTTGAGCTTTGCAAAAGTGAGTATTTCTTGCATTCGCATGTGGAAGTTTTACAGAGTGGCTTGTCTACGAATTGGCCTTGTAAAACAATTAAGCAATCAAATAAAGCTCTGTGGTGGATTCTGGCATCGAGTCCCTGGCTGGATGCCATCAGAATGTCAAGTGGAATTAGTATTTTAGCACTCTTGGTTTTCAGCATCACTGTTTTCAAAAATGAGTGGCCCTGGTGTGGAACCTCTTTCTATATTCTGATTCCATTAACACTTCCTTGAAAGCATTTGAAAGAAAATACTCTGGGTTTCATTCTTGATATAACACAGACTAATAGAGATGCTACATTGAAGTTAAGGAAGTAGGGGTGATACTGAGAGATGCTGCTGGTTAATTTTAAATGTAAGCTTTGTTTTGAATAACTCACAAAGTCATTATCATGTAATGTGATCGTTAGAGTAATTGCTGGATTGAGAGGAGCGCTCTGTAATTACTGGTTCATTGGTGAAGGTGATGCCTGCAGGGTCAGTGAAGGTGGGAGACAGCTCTGTACAGCCAAATTCTCAGCTGGGCAGGAAGTGTTTCTGGTATAATGTCCTCTGGAAGCATTTTTTGGTCATCTTCCCAGTTTACAGTGCTATTCTGTGGCAGCTGTTTAATAAGGAAGTGAAATACTGGGGAAGAATGAGAATAAAAACAAATTAGCCAGTGTTAGAAGTTAATTCCAGCAAATCATTTGGATTGCTTTTGGATTAAGGAACAGTAGCTCTTTGTATGAGGAGGGCAAAGAGGAAGTGCCTGTTTCTTTTGTAAGCTTTTATTTTGAAAAAACCACGTATTTGTGCTGCTGTAGGAATAGCCTTTGGTATATATGTTTCAAGGGCCAAATTAAAAATTAATTTTAAAAGCCAGTGTTCCCAGTGTTTCTTGCCACTTGATCTTCCTGCCACTACTTTACAACAGTTCTGGCTTTTCTGATGCCCAGCAGAACAATCTTGAGAGGCATTTAAAGATTTTTTTTGTATTAATTAGTCACAATTTTGGCATTACACACTGTCAAAATCAGCTGCTTTGTCAGTTCTGGTTTCTGTCTCACTATACATCAGTAGAACAGAAGTACAGATGAGTGTTTAGCAGCATTATTGAATTAATTTTCCTTTCCAGAGCCTGACCTTTGGTCACTAAAATGTTACAGTAAATACTTTATGTAGTGGTTCTGCAGCACTTCTTTATTAATTCCTGGTGTTTTGGCAAAGGGAGATACAAGTATTGACTTAATTTTAAGTACTGAAATGTTAAGCATTTGTGACTAATTGTTTTATTGTTTAAAAGCACAATGTTTATCTGATATCACACTAAGTTATTCTGAGTTATTTGGAACAAGCATGAGGTTTTGTTCTTATGAAAACTCAAGGGTTGGGAGGAATAATGGTGTTGTCTCTGATTCTGGCTGTTTGTAGTTACATGAATGGAGTAACTTTTTAAATATATCCACAGACAACAGTGAAAACACATGGAAGATAAGTGTTTTCCTTGGTTCCTTATGAATGGCATTCCTAACAGTGCTTTCCATGACCTCTCCCTCACCTGCAACTTATCAGACTTCAAAATACATTGCCAAAAGTGGTTGTAGTGAATCTCTGCCTCGGATTTCAATGAATACTGTGGTAATAGCAGTATAAAAGGGCAAAGAGGCTCCTTGTATTTTTGAAGTTAAGTGGAGGTTTTAATTCAAGTGCTATTTTTACAGAGCCTCAGTTGTTTTGTTTTGCTGTGATGCTCAGGACTATGTTTATCTTTGAACAAGCAGGCAGGTACATCAGGGAGTATTGCCTGGTAACATCACACCATCACCCTGGAAATCAGGGAGAGAGTACAAGCCATGTTTTCAGAAACTCTGAGTTAATTCTCAGCTTTGCTGAATTAATTTTTATTTTTCAAATTTGTATCATGTTCTTATTCCCAGTCTTTCACAGTTCTTGGTTGTGAGAGATGGGGGACAGAGGGAAGGTGGAGCCATAGGATTTTAATGGTTGTAATTTGTTATAATCCTTTACAGCTATGAAGGGTTTAGTCTAAACATGCATCCTTCATGGTGTCCTAGTGCAACACTCAGTTAAGGTCACTGTCTAAAACCTTCTGTGAGAAAGTTCACTAAATAAATTGGGTTTTTATGATGGGATGGGAGTCCAGATCAACTTCAGTTAGGTGGAGTCTGTAAAAGAGAATTTATTTTCCTTTAGTAGTAGACTGGTTTCATCCTTTTATACTGGCATGACAAAATACTAGCATTTTTTTCTTGTGACAAGACTGTATTTGTTTGTGTAAAGTAGTCCATAGTAGAAATTTTAAGTGCTTCATTTCTATGAAAAAGGAACAAAACATCTGTGTATCTCACCAACAAGCTTATGTTCTCTTAGCAGAACATAAACAACAAAAAACGTTCCTATCTGTTGCTGCACTTAAATTTTTTGCATCCCAATATGTTTCTCTGGATGAAAATTCAAGGGTGAGATGTTATATCTCTTTAGAACTTAAAACATTTAAAAACTGTGACAATACTTTGCAAGTAAATATCTGTCTGTCAGTAAAACATCCAGGAAATCACAGTGGGTTTTCTTATTGCCAGATGAGAAACATAATGTGGAAATTCCATACATGACACCATTTTTTGAGTCTTAACTAATACTGACATATTCACAAGAGGATCCCAAGCTTGCTCTTAGCAGTGTGGGTCCAGTGGGTTCAGTCTGAGTGCAGGAATAGGCAGCTAGGAAATACTCTCCAATTTTGTTCCCACATCTGCCACTTAACAAGAGTTGAAGGTTCTTTAACCATCTGGAATACCAGTTTATAAAAAGCAAATAGGTTGCAGGTATGAAAATGTGACAATTTTTTTTAAACATTCAATACCTTGTTCTTAGTGTTTATGTGTAAGTGCAAGGTGGTGGATTTGAGATATTTGAAAGGCTTTGAATTCTTACACTTGTGTTTGAGTTGTAGGTAATAGAATATCCCCCTTTTAGGAGTTAATTAACAGAAAAAAGGTTTGACATCCAGGCACGAAACTAAAAACTGCTTTAATCAATAGTCTGGCAGGTGGAGGGGCTGTCAGGTCATGACTTCAGGATTGATAGCTTCTCCCACAATTGGATGGGCACAGTACATCAGAGCAGAGAAATGCTCTGTTTTTCTGGGTGTTTGATGTATTTCTCTCACCTTGCCTCCACCTGAGCATTGCAGTGCTCTGCAAACACTTGTGAGTGGTGCAGCAGTGCTGTGCAGAGGGGAGCATCCCTGCTGACACTTGGCAGCTGGAAAAGCTGTAGCATTGGAAAATTGATTTCTTTGTTTTCTATGTCTGTGATAAAAACTGAAAGGTGGACCTAAAAATTTTTGTCAGCTAGTTCTGGCTTTGTGCATTTTTTTCATTACTGCTTTTCAGAGCAGTTAAACTTTGTCCTGTTTGTAGGTACATAGTAACAAGGTTTTGTGGTTGTTTTGGGGGTTTTTTTTAACAATGCAATGAAACTTCAAAAATCTGCTTTCTTGGCTATAAAATGATGGTTGTTTTGTGAAAATGACTTATTAGAGAGGCATGGGGTGGAGGTAGCTGCTTGGTCTGCTGGTGTCTTAGAAAGTCTGGTCCTATTGCTTGTTGAAAGAAACAAAACTTTGGGGTTTTCTTTCCTAAGTTATACTGGATTCAAGAGCACATAATGTGATTTAGTTATGGTGATAATAGATTCTGTTGGTAGCCTCCTATCAAAATCAAATTAACTAACTTAAATTATGATTTGACTGTAATTTCATTACTAAAGCTGCCAATTAGAATCAAAACAAGTCTTAAACTCCTTGTTATTTTATGTCAAGTGACTGGTATGGGAACTGTCAGTGGCTTTAGTTAAACAGTGTTTGATGAGTTAATTAGCTGAAAACTGCATGAGTACATTTTGAAGCTTTAAACTGTGACCTTTTGGCAATTAAAGTTAATTCATATTTCACTTTTTGTGCTAATCTTTGTTCTGTGTTCCTCTTCAGTAGAAGGTTTTATGCTACAGATTTAAGCAATGCTTTATTGATCAGATGTTGAACAATTTTTGTTTATTCAGCCTTGCAAGCAAATCTGGGAGGTGCCAGCTCCCCAGAGAGGGAATCTTGAATCAGTGCTTGAGCCTGTTCCTGTGAGGGTATTTCTCCTGGGAGCCTGTGTGTGTGTTTAGCCATAACTGCATTTTCACACCTTGAAAATAAGCCAGAAGAGCCAAGACTGTTAAAACAAGGGGATCTTCAGGGCTTTTGTGCAATAAGAGATACATCAGAAGGCATGGAAAACCATATTAAAAGTCTGTCAGCAGAAGTTTGTTGGTCTCACTATTTCAGCTGCAGAAATAGCCACAGATTTATGATGTGCACTGTGGCTTCCTACTGCAGAAAAGACTGTAATGGCCTTTTAGATAATTTATCTTTGGATGACCCATTGGTTACCAGGAGTAGAGTTGGGGGTTTTTTTGCTTTTTGCTATTCCATGGAAGAACATCTGCTCAAATCCTTACCATGCTGGGGGCCAGTCCAGTGCTAAGTCTGTTCAGCCAGAATTGCAGAGTCGTGATGCAGATCATCATCAACTGGCAGACAACATTCTGAAGTCACCTATTTGAGGAGAGGGAGATAGCTCTTTACATATATTTATTTATAAACAAGCAAACAAACCCCAAAGCCAAGACTGAGAAAATCACTTTTTGGGAGGCTGACATGACCTTGTATCCTATTTACTTTCTCATATACCATAATTTTTCTTCAAAATCTTGTATTTCCTCCATGGACCTTTGTCAGTAGAGTTTGCAGTGACAGTTCCTGAGCTCCTCAGTTACAGAGCATTAATTGTGGGTACGTGTTCAGGGCTGTGTAGCATTTGTGAGTGTCAGCAGAGAAGTGAATTCTCCAGGCTGTGTTGGAGTGTGAGATCTGTGTGCAGATCTCCAGCCAGCATAAGATGATGCAAGAACTGAGCTGACGTTTCACCTTGCTGCTGCAGCTGCTGCTAATAAATCCCTCACTTTAAAGAGCCGTGCCAAAATTGATTTAAAAATTGGGTGGTGAACAGTTTGGGTTTTTTCATGTGCAGAAAGACACTTAATTATGAAAGAGCAGCAGTAAGTCTTCAAAGAGACTGTTTCTTGTAGTGGATTTGGTTTAAGAAACACAACTCAGTCTGCACTAATATAATGTGAACATAGCTGTAATCTCCCAGAAATGCAGAGTGTTAAATTTATTAATGGTTTGGAGGGGAATTTGGGTTTTAAACTGCCTGGGTGTGTGTTTGAGACTGTCACAGGTTTCACAGTAGCTGTGAAGCTATGTGGATGTGATGTGTTCTAAAATTAATACATGAACTTGATACTTTCTGCACATGGTTTTAGTAGCAGAGCACTGTCAGGCAAGAAGCCTCACTGCCTCTAATTCCTGGAAAGTGCCAAAAGCATGTTCCTTCAATGCAAATAGCTCCCATTACTATTAGGGCAATATTCCAAATACCACACTCATTTTTTGTGTAAAACCATCCTTTCACTGCACTGTTGGTAGACTCAATCTAGCAATAGTCCAGATGTTTTCTAAGCATAATTTAGGATAATGTGGGAGCTAAATGTACAGTGAAGAACATGTATTAATTCACTTTCCATATGATTTTCTGTGTCGTGGACCCTGACAATCACTTGTGTGGAAACAGGCAATTAATGAGCAGCATTGCTGGGATGCAGATGGGAAAGCAGAACAAGAAGTGGAGTTTTCATCTGCAGTTGAAGGTCTGCATTGCTGTTCTGCACCTCTTTAGATACCAGTTGCTGTCGCTGTGTTTATTTAATGTGGACACTTTTTTCCAGGGAATGAAGCAACTGTTGCTCTGTGTCTGTAACATTTGTTGAAATGTTGCTTTCCTTGGCTACAACTGGAGGCTGAACTGTAGTCCTTGAACAATTGGGTGTTTAAGTTATACTCAGTCTGTCTTTATTATACTAAAAGTTCATTCCTGCTCTGTTACTGTGAGCACTTTATAACTGCACGCTTGTTTTCTGTAGGAAATGGTTTTGTTTTCTGCATTGGTGTTCTTTACAGAAGCTGTATAATTAACAGTTTAATTTCTACAAAATGCTTCTAAATCATTTCAGTGCCTTTACATGTAGACCTTCAAACAACCCTTCTCCAAAACATGAAGTATTTAAGCAGGGTGTGATCTCTAGATGGGAATTACATCAGGCTTCCATGCACAGTGCTGGATCAGGTGACCGCAGTTTCTGAAGCTGATATTCAGGTCTGCTAAAGTACAACCTCCCATAAAGACAAACTGAGCACAAAGTGTTTAGTAGGGGGTTGGAGGAAGGCAGCACTTTATTTCCCAAACACCAATATGTGGTTTTTTTTCTAAGCAGTGTTCTGCTCCTATAAATTGTCCTGCTGCTCTCCAGAACGTTAGCAAGTCCAGCCCACGTGCTGCCCGTGAACTTTAAAGGTTAAGCTCTGCACAATTGCTGCTCCCTTGGCTTAATAGTTTTGAACCATTATGAAGGTGAATGACACATTTACTTTTTAAAAACAGATCTAATCCTACAAATAGCAAATGCAGTGAGAGAGCTGGAAGCACACTTGTGGGCATACACTGGTTTTGTTCTTGGTATACCATCTTCTCCAGAGTTCAGTTCTTTCTTTTTGGTTTATTCCTTTCTAGTTGTTCCATTCACTTTCCTGACACTCTCTGGTTTTTACTTTCGAATGTGTTTCCTGCTTGTCCTTCCTCCCTCCATGTCCCTGGCTTCTTTCTCAGTGGGATCTTGTTACCATCACTGCTCTTGTTTTCCACTGTCTCTGACAGTGGCTCCTGCTCGCTGCCAGGTCTGATCCAGACATTCTGTCCTTTCTCCAGCTGCCTTGGCCTGCTGTTGTGGAGGCAGGGAAAGGTAGTCCATGTGAACTCTTTGACACTTTGGGTACCTGGCATCTCTGGGAGGTTAAAAAATAAACAAAAGAAAATAAATGAATAACTTGTCTACTCTTTGGCGCTGCTGAGGTAGTTACCTCATATGGCACTTAGAGGAGAGCAGGGGGTAATTCTGTGTCCTGTGCACAGAAATAGCTGCTCTTTAGTGCCTCTAGCAAGGAAACCTGTAAAGCTTAGCTGCAGTCACCTGCTTGCCTTTTCCCTCTTACCTTCCAGAATATTTGCCAGTAACTCATTATGACTTCAGGAGAAGGATAATTACATTACCTTGTTGGACCACTATATTTGATGTAGGTTTTTCTTTAGATTATTAGTAAAATAAAATCTTGATGTACTCAAACAGTATCCTGTATTTCTAGTGTGATGGGGTGAAATGGACTTCCCTTAGAGTAAACTATTCCCATATTCTACAGGTGTTGTTGAACAGAGGATTAATGTGCAGCTCTATGGAGATCAAAATTTGTACTCTACAGTCTCCCAGGGACTGGAAGTACTTATCACCTAGCTCTAGGATCTGATATGCCATGGAACAAGATTTGCTGCTTAAATAGGCAATTAGTTAGCAATTAGTTATGTAAACATGGTAGTTATCACCTCCATGAAATACATCCAGGTATGTAATCCCTTCAATTCAAATTGAAATATTCAATTCTTCTTTGAAAAACACAAGCAGCCTCAGGGTTGAGAATTTGACATGCTTGTTACAAGCACAGCTGCCTTTTCTAAACCCTTTAATGTGTCTAGGAAACTGTTTCGCTTGAACTTTTTTTTTTTTTTTTTTTCACCCGCAGAAAAATGATGAGAATGGGAATTGCTCTGGTGAAGGGATTGAGTTTCCAACAACCAACTTGTATGAGCTGGAGAGCAGAGTTTTGACAGATCACTGGTCCATACCCTACAAGAGGGAGGAGTCTCTAGGCAAGTGCCTGATTGCATCCACCTACCTGGCAAGACTGGGTGAGTTCCCTTTCACAGTTGCACAGATGATCTGTTCAGAGGGTGTCACAGACAGAATGTTGGGCAGTTGGGTGTTTCACTTTAATCTTGCTGCTGTTTACTTGCACCCTACACAACAATCACATCTCTGGGAAAGTGTTTAACAGTGAACTGTTCTACCCAATGCTGTCAAAACATCATTGATCTCTTTTCTTTCTCTCTTAAGTCATTTGTTTACTTAAGGTTTTTTTTCAAAAAGTGGCACACATGTTTATTTATGTTCTAATAATTGTGGGAATTACATCTTTTCAGAGCTAAATTACTGACTTTTTTTTTTTCTCCTTGTGCTGGTTATTTTCCATTCATAAAAGCAAGCTGTCATCTCAATCCCTGCTGTACCATTCTTGTATAAGTGGTTGCTTTTCCCTGGTAAAGTGCTTATATTGCATTAGATCTGAATTTGACTCTTCTTATTCAGTACTTTGGCTGGGGTTAAGAGTGTTATGGAGGCACCACACCCAACAACTGGTGTATAATGAGAGTACAAGATAGATTTTCAGTCATGCCTGATGGCAGACTAAAGGAATGTTGTAATCTCTTGGAAGAATAGAAGTTGTTAAGTGGTTCTGCTTTGCTTCTCTGTTTCCAATCTGTGTTAAAAGGCTGTGCTTCAGTTTTGGTGGGAGACTGTGAAGCATCAGTAACGTATGAATTGTAAACTCTGAAGTTTACAAGTTACTTATAGTGCTAATAATGCTTGAAAAACTTGTAAAAGGTATTGGGAAATTAATTCTTAGTTCTGAAAGGCAGGTTCTCTCAAGTCATGCTTTTTGTGGCTTTAAAAGCATGCTAGTTAGGAAGGAACAGTAGCACTTTTACTACTGCTAGTTTGGGTTGGTGTTCCTTCAAATTTGCAACAAGGTGTCTGAGGTCATCTTAAAAAGTAAATTTTTTAAAATACTGTTAAATAGCACTCTCTTTTCTGTAAAGGTCTTTCTGATTCTGATGAGAATTGCAAGAGGTTTATGGACAGATGCATGCCTGAAGCATTTAAAAAGGTAAGTAGGTACAGTAGGCCAGTTCAATGTTTCTTTGTGTTGTTCATGGTGGAAATAGTGTTTTGTAATCCAGACTTCAGGCAAATACTGAATGGGTTGTTAGATTAAAATCACACTCAAAATATTTTCCTAGATTAAAATTATAGAAATTTAAATTTAAATCATACAAGGTCCCAGTTCTGTAGCTCTGGCCAACTTTGGCACTTAGCTTTTTTGTTTTTTTCTTTTTTTTTTTTTCTCTTAAATGAAGAGCCCTGGAGTAATTACCAGAGCCCAAAGAGAGGTTTAAAGACCCTTGGATATGGCCACTGGTGGCAAGTTCATGGTCAGATTTCCATTAACTATTCTTTCTGTTACTTCTTCAGAGGGTTGCTAAATTCTTTTCACAATCCATTCAGAATTTTATCTTTCACCTCAGTTCTCAATGCCCTGTGTTTCTCTGGGCTGTGTGAATTTGCTCTATAGAGCTCTCCAAACTAATTGACTTCCTACTATTCCATCCACTTTAGGTACTGCCTAAATTTCCTGCCCAGCATTTGGACAATATCTATAAAAACACATACATACCCTTTAAAAAGTGACTTTGTCCTAGTGTTAAAATACTGAGAATATAACTTCATTTAGGAAGGCAGAAATTTAAGGGAAAATTTTTTTCATTTAATTATCAGAGTACTGATCTGATTGCAAACATACAATAGTTTTATATCACTTGGTGTTTTTTGCATATGAAATAAACAATGTAGATTGTTCCTTCAGAAGTATAATCTGTAGAAATCTAAATTCAGGATGTGCTGAATTACAATTTGCTGAAATATTTACAAGAAACTCTATTAATGTACAAAAAGTGATTGTTTTTAAACTATTAAGTTTTTTATCTGCTTCTGTTCAGGCACAGCAGAAATTAAATGAAATTTGCAGATGGCAGTCAAGTG